GCCCTCCCCCAGGAGCATGGCCCCCCACTCCCACCCAGGACACACCTCAGGGTGCTCAGCGTCTCGTCGTAGTTGATGTCTGCGGGGCTCAGCGCAGCCACCATCGCTGTCCTCGAGTTCCCGCCTGCGGGGGAGACGCGGTCGTCCCAGCAGGGGATGGGCCCGGCTGCCCCCACCCCCGCCACACACAGCTGGGGGGCACGTCTTCTAAGCAGAGTTTTCTCACGTGTGGGGTCACCGCACACCAAGTAGGCCCCCCACCCCGTCATACAGGGGAAAGCTGGGGAGGGTTTTATGGCATTTACTACAAGATGAGAACTGTTTACATCCAGTAAAACTTTCACATTTATCCTTCCTGTTTGGAATATTTCTCCAGTATTTCAGCTCAGGTTCCCGGCCCGGGGCCGCATGGATCCTGGCAACCAACAGGTGGCACGCTGTTCAACCCAGTCGAGCTCAGGCTCCTAGCCCAGCAGAGGCAGGAACACTGGGCAGCGCGTCCTGTCGGGGTCAGGGGCCTCAGCAGCCCTCAGGACCACTGCCTGTCCTGTCCGTGCTGGGGGTTCAGAAGGACAGACCTCACGTGAACAGAGGAGGGGTAATTCATTGAAGCTCCCCGAGAGCCAGCCAGTAAGCAGGGCTCCCCAGAATCAGCGAGTCCCAGGTCTCCAGGGGAAACTGAGGCCCCGAGAAGGGTGGCTACCAGTCTGGGTGTCGCAGGCCTGAACCAGGAGCACTAATGAGGGTGGGTGCGTGTTCTGAGAGGTTCCCCGAGGGCCATCCTGGTCCTCCAGACTTGCTTCCTTAACCTACCACTGGCCACTGGCCACTGGCCCAGGCCTTCTGCAAGGAGCCCCCGGTTCACATCTCAGCCCAGAAAGGATGGGACCCATCCCAGGTGGGAAGGCAGGGCGGCAGCTGGGGTGGGTGTCAGACCCCAGGACAGCAAGCCACGCATCCTCACCCAGGTTTTCCCGGAGGAGCCAGGTCAGCACTGAGTCTCGATATGGAATGAAATCTGTCTTCTTCTTTTTCTTGTTCTGTGGGGGAGGAGGGTTCAAGGTCAACCTCAAGCCCACTGGAGAAGGGAGGCAGTGGACGAGCACAGGCCTGCGGGCAGGCCCCCAAAGCCAAGGCTGCCGGGGGGGGCAGGGCTGGGCCTGTTGCCAAGGCCTCTCCCCACAGGAGCCCCAGGCACCACCACTCGGGCTGGAGTCGGGGACTGGCTAGCACATTCCTCAGCTGCCTCCCTGCCTGTCCCGCTGCGTATCTGGGCCACACGGCCAGACTGAGCCCGGGCGGGGGCCGGCACCCCAGCACGCGTGTCCTGAGCTCCGGCAGAAGGGCCAGGCTGAGCCCACCGCCCCGTCAAATCCCGTCAGCAGCCCCGCGGACCGCGAGGAGAAAGCCTCGCGGCTCACATGGCCCCGCCGGCCTCCGCCAGCGCCCTCGGGCCGCCTCTCCCCTTCTGCAAGACGCGCCTTCCTTCTCCTGGTGAGCCCTCCCCCGCAGCCTTGGGGAGCCCACTCACCAGCCCCCCAACAACCTCGTCTCCTGCCCCGCGGTGCGCAGCGTCCTCACGTGCCTCCCTTTGTCCCTCTACTAAGGCAAACGGCGGTCACTCAGAACACAGAAGCGAGCGGGGGAATGGCTGCTGGGCCCCACTTCTCACACACGGGTGCGCAGAGGCCGAGCCGGCTGCTCCGCTAGTCCTGGCTGTTGAGCTGCTTTCCAGAGTCTCCTCGTTCGTTCGTGCACACGTTTGCTTAAGGAGCATCTGCTCAGCCCCCGTGGCGGCCGGGAGACCTGCCCCCACCCAGCGCCCACCCTGGGGGACACACAGATGCCACCGCCGGGTGGCTGCTTCTCCGGGCACAGACACTGCGGCAACGCCCTTCAGAACGATCCCTGAGACGACCTGAAAGTTCTAGAGACACGCGGTCAGGTGGGTTCCCGAAATGCTGCGCCGGCGTCCCTGCGAGCAGGTGTGAGAGCGTCCGCCTGGCGACGGCTCCGCGGGGCCGAGGGCTTTCTTTGCTCCCTTTGGAAATTCGCTGCGTGAAGACCTTTCTTGCCGCTTTGCTTCCATTGTTTAATTCCCGAGGATGCAGTAAGTCTGCCGTATTCCTTGTTTCCAAAGCACCATCGCCCCGGCCACCAGCCGAGTCCCTTTGACCCGCTGCCCCCTCAGCGCTGCTCACTCCCCACCAGGGCCCCTGCGGGGGAGGCCAGCTCCTCCCTGAACCACCATGCCTCCCTCTCCTCCGCCCTCCCAGCCTCTGCCCTCTCACTCCTTGGACCTTTGCCACACGGCCCTCTGTTGCCCTGACAGCCACACCGGCCACCCGTGCCCTCCCAGCCGGTCTCCACCGGCAGCCTGAGGGCATGTCCTGCGCTAAAGCAGCCTTCATGAGACCCCCCCCCCACTGCTCCCCCTCCACCACGACCAGCCAGATTCTGACCCGGGGCTCGGGGCCAGCTCAGGCCCCGCCCTCTCTGGCCTCAGCATCCTCGTACCCCACCGGCTCCCCGCTCCAGGCAGACCCTCAACTCGCTCCTCGAGCTCCTCTCACTCGGGTCCTGCCAAGTCTCTCTCACAGCCCCTCGCCCAGACCCTTACACGTCTCCTCACGCCCCTCAGGGCGTCACACAGGGACACACGTGGTCCCACACACAGTGCCCTGCAGTCCCTGCCACCCCCGTGCACAGCTCCTTCCACAGCGCAGCGCGCAGCTCCCGCTGCTCACGGGGCTTCCTGACCTTCCGTCAGGTCTCCACAGCCCCGGGAGTCCACACGGTTCCCAACACCTCCACACACAGTCCACACGGAGCTCCACGCGCCCCGCATGCCCTCTTACACAGGGCCCCTCACAGGTCCCCCGCGGTCCCTCACGTGGCTCCCTGTCCCACCCGACGTGGCTCCGCACACCGCACACGTTCCTCGCGGCTCCCCAGGCAGGTCCTCGGAGCCCCTCCCGCGCTCTGCGCCCTTCCTCTCACAGCTCCTCAGAGCTCCTGCTCAGGCCTCCGCCGCGGAGCTGCCGCCCAGAGGCCCTCTGTCCGGGTCCCCTCACAGCCCAGGGCTGTCCTGGGGGAGGCATCTCCCCGCTCTCCTCGCCACCCCTCTACCTCCACGGCCAGCACCCCGGACACCCTCCCCCGGGGGAGGGTGAGCTTACCTTGTTGGGCCCCGAGTCCTGCAAAGGCAAAGACAAAGTGTCTGAGGCCGGAGCGAGGCTGGCATGTCCCCTCCTCACCAGTCGGGACACAGAGACTCAGGAGTGACAGGATGGCTGCTCCCGCTGGGACCCCCGCCTCTGGGCTTCTCCACAACCAAGCCCCACAGGGACCGGCCAGCAGGAGGGCAGGTCGGGCACCCCCCACCCGCTGTCCATCCCACCATCCACCCCACCGTCCTCCCCACCATCGGCTGCAGCCGCCCCAGCCGCTCACCATCTCGGCCAGAGCGGAGATGACCTTCCCCAAGGTGGTCAGGGACTTGTTGATGTTGGCTCCCTCCTGTGTGTGGAGGACAGACGTCAGGGAGCCCCTCACCCCAGTGGTCCCGGGCCTGAACCCCCTCCCTGCCTCTCCCCAAAACTGGGGCTCCCCCCTTCCTGCCACCCACCACTGAGCCCCATTCCCGCCGGGGTCTCAGTCTGTGTCCCCAGGGCCGCGGCATGGGCATCGGGCCACGGCTGTGAGTCCAGCAGGTGCAGACCTTCCGGCCCCCCTACCTTGAGGCGCGTGCCCTTGGCCCCCGTGGAGTCGGCACGCTCACTCCCGGCCAGGTCCACCAGGCTGATCTTGCTCACCTGCGACAGCAAACAGGCCCCATGTAGGAGACCGAGAGCCCGAGTGGGGCTCCCACCTCCCCAGGCCAGCCTCGAGGAGCCGCCAGAGGGAAGGAGCGGGACCCAGGCCTCTCGACCCACAGGGCAGAGCCTCCTCTGCTCACAGCTCTTCCAAAGCCTCCTCCCCTGGGAGGCCGCCCGCCCTGGTCCCCCAGCACCTGGCGCTGCAGCCGAGCTGCTCTCTGTGCCAGGCTCTCCTCACAAGGGGCGTCCTGTCACTGTCACCCTCAGTTGGGGCTCCTCGTCTGTGGCGGGACTTGAATCCAGCTCTGAAGAGCCCGTAGCTCAGAGGCCTTGTGAGGGCTCGGCTGCACCCAGCACTGGCCTGGGCACCAGGCAGGGGCCCCACCAACACTCCCGCAGCCCAGGCCAGACGGCCACCTGCACCCGGGGAGGCGCAGCCCCTCTTGCGCCACGGCTGCTGCAGACAGGACTCACCCAGTGGGACCTCTTGGTGCCCCGAGCCCAAGGGTGGGGACAGCAGGCAGCCCGCCGCCAGGCTGACCCAGGCCCAGCTCCCCTCGCCACCCTCCCCAGCCTCCGAGTGACCCCGACATCCTCAGGGACTGAGCGGCCCTCACTGCCCCTAGCCCCTCTGTGGACCCCAGGGTGCTGCCCAGGAAAGCCCTGCCCCCAGGAGGCAGCTGAGGTCCCCCAGGAGTGGGCCTGGAGGGCAGGGCAGGGGTGAGAGTCTGCCGGAGAAAACACCACGTCTAGGGTCAGCGTGGTGGAGGGACAGGAAGCCTCGGCGCCCACCCTGCTGCCCCTTCCCAGTGCCCACAGACAGGCGTCTGGGTAAAGGCCCCAGCGGACGACAGCCGCCTGGGTCTGCTGACCAGGCAGAGGTGCGGGGGAAGGGCACCTGGGGCTCGGGCAGCGGGCGGGTGGCTCCCTCTCAACACAGCCTCTCCTTTGTGCTTGCAGATGTCGGCGCCTCCCCTGTGGTGTAGCCCTGGGGACATCCTTCCTCCGCCCCTCCCTCCAGTCTCCACCGAAACTGCCTGGCAGGAGGCAGACCCGGGGTCCACAGCTCCTCCGCTCAGTCCCTTCCATGCCCAGGTGGCACCAAACACCCAGACAAGGTGGCAGCGAAGACCTGGCCAACCTCTCGCTGAGGCCCAGACTGGGCAGGGGACAGTCCCCACCCAATGCGAGGACGCTGCCCACGCCTCGTGGACCGGCTTGGCCTCCTTGTCCCACCTGACCAGCCTGGCCCCGTCCCCAGCCCGGGCCCTGCCCACCTTCTCTGCGGTGATGTTGGTCTCTGCATCGTGGCGCTTCTGAGTGAAGATGATGTTGAAGACGGCGTGGGAGCGGCTGCTGGTCTCATTCATGTTCGTGGCCGCCACTGTCCTGGAGGAACAGAAGCCACACTCCGTCACCCACCGTCCTGTGGTCAGGTGTGAGGGTCACTGGTGGTGCCAGCCCGCCCGACCAGGTCACGAGAGGTCAGCTCCCCGGGGCTCCAGGGGCAGCCCTGTCCGGCCTGGTGGCAACTGTGCCTCCTGCCAGAGCTCGAGCAGGGCCCCCTTGTCTGTCCACCACGTCCATCGGGGCTCCAGCTGGAGCCTGGCGCTCAGGGCGCTGTGACCGGGCCCTCTCCCCACTCCCAGGGGCTCAGCAGAGCCCCGGCACTGCTCAGCCAGCTTCCCAGTAACAGGTCCTTGGCTGTGACATGGAAAGGCCCCCAGAAAGAAAAGGGGGCACCACCGTCCATCCCAGTGTGGCCTTGGGGACAAGGCCAGGCTGCCTGAGTGGAGGTCAGTGGCTGGTCCCAATGCCACCAACGGGCAGAGCCCTCGGGAGCCCACAGGCTGGGCGACAGCTGCCTCCACAGGGGGGCCTTGTCAGAACAGCACCCACCCCCACGGGGCCACTGGTAAGGTGCAGGATGTCGGAGAATGACCCGGGGATCCTCACCCTCCGGGAGTCCCCGCGTGGCCGACGGGGGACTGTGGCTGTGACAACCAGGGCAGACCCTCCAGGACAGGGAGGCCAAGGGCACCACGGCCATGGAGACTAATCGCTTACGGCTGGCAGTGCCTTGCAGATGACACCCCATGCCCCCAGCCCCGTACCCTGTCCAGAGGGCCCTCTGCCCTCGGAGCAGACAAGGTTGCCCTCGCAGTGTGGTCCCACCCAGGGCAGCCACCATCACCCCAGGGTGCCTGAACCCCCGGGAGGAGCAGACCCCAAGGAGATGAATGACCTTAGGCCCACAAGACCCCCACCCACGGGGAGACCACCAGGGGCCCTAAGGACAGGGCCTCCCTCGGAGAGACGAGCAACTGTGCGCAGGGGAGGGTACGCATCACCCCGCACGCACCGGGCCTTGTTCCCCGAGTCCATGAGGTCCTGGATGTCATTGTAGGAGGTGACTGCCAGCTTGGAGAGGTCCTCCACGTAGGGCCCCAGCAGCGGGTGCTCCCTCACACGCAGGTTGCCCTTGTTCTTGGGGTTCAGGAGGTCACGGACACGCTCGCAGTAAATCTCCATGTAGCTGACCTGCAGGGCAGAGATGACATGAGGGACCCCGGAAGTGGAGGGAGCAGCGGGCACACCACGGGCTCCCAGCCGCCAGTGGGGCCATGGCCCCTGCGTGAATGTGTACGTTGGGGGTGTCAGCCCACCCCTGCCTGCCTGGCTTTGTCCTACCCACCACCATGCCGGGGCTCACCCGACGCGGTCACACCAGGGCCACCTTGGCCACAGCACAGCCCAGCCATGCAGCTCGGAGCAGGGAAGCTGCTCACTAAACATCACGAAGCAGAGAACCGCCCCCCGCACCGCGTGTCTGCCTCGTCCATGAGTGAGTGGCAAACCACGGGCACAGACCCGTGGATCCTCGGGGGCTGACTTTGAATCAGCAGAGCCACACTCCCAGGGCCGGACGCCAGGAGAGCCCTACCTCCACGGAGTAGGACATGTTGTCATTGGTGGTGTCATTGATGCGGGAGAACAGGTCCTCGCAGAGCTGCGGGGGCAGAGGACACACAGTCAAACTCTGGGCTGGGCTGTTCGCGGAGCTCCGCCCTCGAGGTGCTGTGGGCAGCCTGCAACCCAGGCTGGACACGCTCTCCCGGGCCCCTCTCACCCCATCCCAGTCCATCTGAAAGGCACTGAGAGGCCTGCAGCCAAGGAGCCCCTGTCTTCTGCTTAACTCAGGGAGAGCCTCCCCTTTGGCTGATGTCCGACTCTCTCCTACGGACCGTCTGCCCCTCACACTTGTCTGCATGAGGTGGAGGGCCTACTGTGCTGCAGACCACCTGGCATCCTCCCTGTCCTGACCAGGTCAAGTACTGACCGGCTCAGGTTCGGAGACCCGCCCGGGGGGCTGCGATCCGAGCAGTTACCGAGGCATCCCTCGGCAGGCCGCCAGTCCTCACGGCCCTCCCTGGGAAGGGCTGCCCCAGCACCTTGTCTTATGGATGTGACCGCTGTGGGCACCGCCCAGGGCCGGGCCCTCCCGCAGCTCCCCACCCCCAGATCTGGGTCTCCAGCC